AAATGATTTTAAATTACCCTCAATAAGAGATAACACATCTAACAATCCAGAATGCAACAATGAAATTCCACATTTGATAACAATTTCTGAATGTTTTACGACTGCCCTTTCGTCTGATGTTGATTGCACTGGATAGTGCGCTGTGAAAAATGGTCTTTCATGGATTCCTCCTGGAATAAATATAATAGATTTTTTATTTACTTCATATAGTCATCAATAAGATATATAGTCAGAGATAAATACAAAGTTAACCGCTTAATGCTTACGGTTGAGCTCAGTTTGTTTGCACAAAACTGGAAAATTTGCACACGAACTAACTCAGTTCATTCATAGGAGTTTTTAAACTTTTTGCATTTTGTTGGACGAGATCACCAAAACAGATTCAAACAATTTTATAATATATTTTACTATATAAAAAATTTCAATAACTTCAAATACATTTCAATAACAAATATAATATATATCAATGCCTTTTGACTCGATTCTTCATTTGTTATTCTAAACTAAACTATACTAAACAAAATGTTCTTTTAATTATTTATCTCATAATAATAACATTCTAAACACATTGCCATAGAAAATATGATGATTTTATGACAGTAAATTATTAAAAAAAGTTATGCATTAAGTGGCTAAAACTCAATATAGGTAGATAATATGCATTACTATTGTCAATTATTATACCAAAATTGTTTTCAACCAGGAAACAATTATTTTTCAACAAATGATCCCCATTGAATCCGGCCATGTTCAATTGGTAAAGAACCAAGTTTGAGGTTGGAACCATTCCAAGAACCAGGCATCCTGCATGTCTCGCCAAAACGCTCGGTGCACACTCGTTTCTTCTGGTAAACATCAGCCCAACTCATGGTATTCAAAACCAGCAACTGGATGCGTTTCAACCATTCAACGAGCACCGAGCTATTTTGCGGAAACCTGTGCAAAATCGTATTTTACGCGTGTTACTGCAACCAGGAACAATGCATTTGCGACCCATAACTCCAGATGCTTGAATAACTATAACAAAAATGTAAATCACTCACGAAAAGATCAATAACAAAACAATTTTATCGGAATTTGCAGAATTCAAAACGAACGCAATATCAAAATGGCGATTTTATAGTAACCAACATAAAATATTTGATCCATAGATAAAAGAAGAGTAGATTTGATCTTTTCGTGTTGCTCTTGACATCGGCTAATAGCGCCAAATGTGCGGCTGGTGTGCGAGCACCAAACTATACTGTGTGAACGTTCATAGATAAATAAATCATCCGATTTGGATGATTCAAAAAACTTTCTGCTGCTGGTATTGACGAAGGATTGCTTTCGGAAACAACAAAATTTTTATTTATTTTTTTTTTAATTTCCACAAAGAATTTTTTTGAATATCGAAAATAAATCAAATTTAATTTTGTTTTTCTAGCTAAAGTTCTAAAGCTCACTATAATATACTCAAAATAATTATTTTTAACTTTGCAATTCAGTTTATATAATTTTTTTAAATATAGACAATGTCCTTCATTTTAAATTCGATTGATAAGTTTTGTTTATTTAATTTCCTATAAACATATAAGTTACAGTATTTGAAAAAATAATCTATTTTATAGCATTTAATATTCCTCGAATAATTATTCACGGTACGGGAAGCTCCAACAATTTGCCTTAAGGCACGATGCCATTTACCATTAGTTAACTTCCCGTAGAGTAAGTTATTGTAATCGTCCAAAAATTGAAATTGAAATTTTTACATTTCTTCACGTTTTGAAGGTTTCTAAATATTTCTGGCATCCCTCAGAAAAATGGGATATATGCGTGTGTGTATATGTATGTATGGATACAATTTTTCGTCCACGTTTTCGGGCGCACGAATCAGCCGATTTGAATGGTTCAAAAAACATTCGATTCCTATTGACAGGGAGATGTGCTGATTAGTTTTTGGCAAAGGCTGGTTCAGCCGCTTCGGAGATACAGTGCAAAGGGTGTAGAAAATAGAAATAGAGTTTTTCAGAGAACGGAGCATCCGATTGAGATAATCCAAAAAACATTCAATTCGTAATGACGGGAAGAAGTGGTGATTAGTTTTTGGCAAACGCAGGTCCAGCCGTTTTGGAGATACCAAGCTAAATGTGCAATAAATGGCAGTTTCTGAGAGAAATAAGTATCCGATTTGGATGATTCAGAAAACTTTCTGCTTGTGTTGAAGAAACGATTGCTTTCCGAAACAACAAAATTTTTATTTTTTTTTTAATTTCCACAAAGAATTTTTTTTGAATATCGAAAATAAATCAAATAAATAATCTTATAAATATTAGACAAAAATTAGATTGATTAAGTTTTAATTGTTTATTTAATTTTCTGTAAACATATAAGTTACAGTATTTAAAAAAATATGTATTGAATTTTTATTGCAATGTATTGAAAACATTTTAATATTTATCGAATATTTATTCACCGTACGGGAAGCTCCAGCAATTTGCCTTAAGGCACGATGCCATTCACCACTAGTTAACTTCCCGTAGGGTAAATTATTGTAATAGACCAAAAATCGAAATTGAAAATTTTCACATTTCTCGACGTTTTGAAGGTTTCTGAACATTTTGGCATCTCAGAAAAATGGATGTTTGTGTGTGTGTGTGTTTTGTATGTCCGCACTTTTTCGTCCACGTTTTCGGGCGCACGGATCAGCCGATTTGAATGATTCAAAAAACATTCGATTCCTATTGATAGGAAGTTGTGCTGAATAGTTTTTTGGCAAAAGCAGGTCTAGCCCCTAAGGAGATGCGGAGCAAAGAGTGCAGAAAATACAAATTGAGTTTTTGAGAGAACGGAGTATTCGATTTGAATGATCTAGAAAACATTCAATTTGTAATGACTAGGGGAAGTGGTGATTAGTTTATTACAAAGGCAGGTCCAGCTATTTCGAAGATACAGACTTAAATGTGCAAAAAACGGTAGTTTTTGAACGAACTAAGCGTTCGATTTAAATGATTGATTGCTTTTGAAAAAACATTTTTTGTTTCGATTTTTTTTGTATATTGAAAATAATTCAGATTTTAATTTGAATTCTTGCTAAAGTTCTAAAGCTCACTTATATACTTTTAATAAATAATTTAACCTTTGCAGTATTAGACAATGTTGCAATATTATAACATACTGTAGCATTGTCTAATATTTATAAGAATTATATAATCTGAATTACAAAGTTCAAATTATTTACTTAGAGTATATAAGTGAGGTTTTTTTTGAGCCAGAATTAAGGTTGAAATCTCAAATTTAATCATTCAAATCGGTTGATCCGTGCACCCAAAAACGTGGGCGAAAAATTGTATCCATACATACATACACATATCCATTTTTTCTGAGGTATGCCAAAATGTTCAGAAACCTTCAAAACGTGAAGAAATGTAAAAATTTTCAATCTCGATTTTTACAAATAACTATCCCTATGAGAAGTTAAAAAATAACCTTTTTGAGAGGATTCTACTAACAATTATGACTCAATTGCAAGCCTTATTAAGTAAGCCTGGGTTGGATATAGAACATTATTAATAAAATATTTACACAAGTCATTGATAACAATGTTTATTTATTTGATATTATATATAATAATTAGTTCATATACCAAATTATCATTAATTACTATAAGCAGTCATATGTAACCTTTCGACTAGTTTTGTAAATACTATTACTCATTGGTATGAGCAACCATGTGCTTTTTTAGGGTATTTGATTGTTTGAATACTTTATCACAGATTTTGCATTTGTAGGGGCATTCTCTGGTGTGAATGAGCACATGTCTATTCAAGTTACTCAATTGTATGAATGCCTTATTACAAATTTGGACAAATATGGGAGCGTTCACCAGTGTGAATAATCATATGTCTATTCAAGTAGCCAAATTGTGAATGTTATCACAAATTTGGCAAATATGGAGGCGTTCATCCGTGGGATGGCAATGTTTTTTCAAGTCAGATAATTGTGTGAATGTCTTTTCACATATTTTGCAAATATAGGGGCGTTGCTCACCAGTGTGGTTGAACATATGTCTATTCAAGTTACTCAATTGTATGAATGCCTTATTACAAATTTGGCAAATATGGGAGCGTTCACCAGTGTGAATAATCATATGTCTATTCAAGCTAGCCAATTGTGTGAATGTCTTATCGCAAATTTGGCAAATATGGGGACATTCACCAGTGTGTATGAGCATATGTCTATTCAAATGACCTGATTCTGTAAATGTCTTACCACATACTTACATTTATTAAGACGTACCCTAGTGTGAATTAGCATATGCGATTTCAAGGTACCCCATTGTGGTGAATGTCTTATCACAAATTTTTGCAAATTGCGGACGTTTACCTGGTCCTTTGCAGTATGAGCGCGAATATTTCGTTTTGATTACTACTAGATTCATTCGAATTTAAAATTTGTTCTCTTGCAGAAGCACAAATGTGTGTGTCTAAATGATGTTTTTCAGTAAATGCTTTACTGCAATTTGTACATGTGAAATGTTTTTCACTTGTATGAGATTTTATATGTATTTCTAATGCACTTGCATCTGAAAAAGTCTTTGAACAATATGTGCAACTTGACAATAATTTAACATAACTCAATATCATATGCTGTTCTAAATAATGCAACTTTCTAAATGTTCTATGACACTTGTCACATTTATAAGGAGCAGTCTGAATTAATTGCTGTTCAACTCCTTCTTCTATTTTCACTATGGAGTTCATAATCTGTTTAGACATGTTTTGTCATCCTCTGAACACGATTCATACTCTTCCTCAATTTCCTGTTTAATTTCTTCTATTGGATATTCTTTTGGTTCAATTTTAATTATCGAATCATCAGCAGCTTCTGACATTTTGAGATATTTGTGCACTGAGTATTCAAGTTTATTCAAGTTCAATTCCTGTTCAACTTCTTCTTCTATTTTCACTATGGAGTTCATAAATCTGTTTAGACATGTTTTGTCATCCTCTGAACACGATTCAGGACGATTCAGGGTCTTCCTTAATTTCCTGTTTAATGGTTTTGATTGGATATTCTTGTGGTTCAATTTTAATTATTGGATCATTAGCAGCTTCTGACATTTTGAGATATTTGTGCACTGAGTATGTTTCTATAAGCATAAACAAAAACAGTTGGTTAGTTTAAATAAATTGTTAAATATGATAATTCATTTCATTAGAAATACAAGTGAAGACATTAGATGATTACACTTGGAGCATGGAGTATGATTTTAGAAAGTGCATTTTATTTATGCTCTTGTAACATTTTACAGGAGTGTGTGTTTAAATTGTTAATCATTTTCAACAGTCATCAATACAAATGGATATAAGAATATAATATATTCGTGTTATGGTTTTGTCTATGAATGTAATCTACATTAATTAACAGAAGTCTACTTTGGACAATGTATGTCGCCAAGATAATTTCTTCTTCGAAATGCTTTATATTTGACAGATAGTAAATACGATTCAACTATTGTTCAAAGCTTTTGCCTTATTGCAGAGCTGAAATGTAAAGGGTAAAATTAAGCAATATTTATTTTTTGCATTAATTGAAGTTAAATATTTATAGTTCTTTCTGAATTAAATAATTGTAACTAAAAGTTAATCACGTGGAAGAACCTCAAAGTGTTTTACACTACCTTTATGTTTATCAATCAATCACAAACACTGCAATCACAAATATATATTATTATATTAATACTTAAATTTATATATAATATGTTTATTATGACATTTAATTAATAATTTAATAAAGAGAACATAAAATGTTCGTTCAGTACATTAATTTGTTTGACAGTTGAGCGAACTTCATTACTTTGCATCGCTCTAATGTTACCATTGCCAACCTAGTGCAATCATAGACCTTACACTACATGGACTGCTAAATAGACCATGAATAGACCTTATACTCTCTTTTGACAATTAAGACCCATTTATGATTACTAGTTTTTTGACAACCCTACAGAAATATAAAAGTAAGAAAAATTATAATTTTTAGATTATTTATTTATTAGGTAACAATATATATATGAAAATATATAGTTTTAGAATTTGTTGTAAAACTTACAAGAATCTAAACTCGATGTTATTGATAATATATATATTTGACATTAAAATTTCTTGCAACCCCATAATTTTTCTATGCGACCTTAAATGGGGTCGCACCCTGTAGTTTAAGAAGCCATGGTATAAAGTTTATAAAGATAGAAAAAAGTATGACGTCACTTAATGAACAAGCGTTGCCGACAATCGTGGAACTTTTCCCCTTGACTAGATAATATGACCTTACCTTATCTATGATATGACATTTATAGTCATATGTATCATAGATAAAAGAAGAGTATGATATGCATAGATAAAAGAAGAGTATATGATATGTATTATATTAATAACATAATGGCAATTGTGATGACTGATAATTTTGCAAGTAATGATATTAATAATAGTTAATAATATTTATCATAATAGTTAATGTTATTTTCCTCCTTATATCTTAATGCTCTTATTTTGAGCTCGACTAGCAGTCCATGTAGAATAACAGCCCGGCCAATTTAAACCAACAATCAACAATAATGATGAAGGTTACTATAAATCACAATGGGCTGTAACTTGGCAAAATTGTGTAAAATACAATTATAAAAGAAATATCAAAAGACCTCATCGATCCGATGCGAGCTAAAAAAAATGGCACAAGGTCAAAGAATAAAAAATGACCCTTATGCGATTTTTAGCTAAACGGTCAGTTTTATCGCAAAATTACCTGAGACAATATTGTAGAGCATAAAATTATCTACAACAAATGCATCAGAGCCACCGTTTTAAAGATATATAACTTTGTTTTTTCAGTGGTTTCTCAGTAGGCCTAATTCACGAGTCTGCTGCGACTTTGCCTAGGCAATATTAGAATTTAATGTATTTATATCATAGATATCGTATTACAATGTAATATAAAGACTATGATTCATATTCATGGTGATCTGTTTGTTTGGAAATACTTGCAAATAATATTTGTAAATTTGGGTTGGTAAAAATAAAGGCGGTAATTATAAGAAAGCAACTAATTTATTCCTGGGAGTCATAATTTTTAAATGTTTTTACATCTTTTTGTATCGTTTTTTTATCTTTTTCTTTGTCTTTTTTTCTTCTTTACTTTGATTATAAACTAGTTCTGGTCAGTTGGAGTTCCAGCAGTTCCTCGCAAAGTAGTCAGAACAAATCTTAATAATAATTAAATATGCTTAATTATCTATGATAAGGTCTAGGTGTGTAGTGCAGAAGACTGAGTATGGTGTGCACTCTTTTTAAGTAGTGTGTTCCTGACAATGGCGGATCCAGGGAAGGGTCACAAGAGTTATGACCCACCTGAGGACATTTGAATAAACCCTGAACTGATCTTCAACTAAAATATGTTACTAATTCAACAATAAACTAGTGGCGTGCATGGCATCTTGCCTTAAAGCAAATTGCTGGAACTTCCTGTACCGTAACGAAATGTTCGAGGAATACTGAATGTTTTCAAATAGATTGTTATAAATATTGTAACATGATTGTAACATGTCTAATATTTATAAGAATTATATAAACTGAATTGCAAAGTTGAAATTATTTGTTTAAAAGTATATTAGAACTTTAGTCAGAATTAAAAATAAAATCTGATTTATTTTCGATATACAAAAAAAAATTTTTTTGAAAAAAAAATTGAAAAAAAAAAATATATTGAAACAATTTTTTTTTCCTAAATCAATTATTTGTTAAAAATCCCAATCATTACTTATTGAATGTTTTTTAGATCATTTAAATCGGATACTCCGTTCTCTCAAAAACTCGATTTTTATTTTCTTCACTCTTTGCTCTTTATCTCCGTAACTTCTGGACCTGTCTTTGCCAAAAACTAATCAGCACATCTCCCTATCAATAGGAATCGAATGTTTTTTGAACCATTCAAATCGGTTGATTCGTGCGCCAAACCCAGACCGAAAAATTGTATCCATACATACATACATAACCCACCACACACATCACACATCCATTTTTTCTGAGGTATGCCAAAATGTTCAGAAACCTTCAAAACGTCGAGAAATGTAAAAATTTTCAATTTCGATTTTCAGACGTTTACAATAATTCACCCTACGGGAAGTTAATAAATTGCTTCATATTGATTTTATTAACTTTCGTATTTTAGTTCGTTAAAAGTTAATAAAATCATTATGAACAATTTATTTATTGTTGAATTAGTAACAACTTACTAGTCAACAAGACGAGTTCAAGGTGTATTTATCTGTGTTCAGGGGGGTCATAACACTTGTGACACTCTTCTGGTTCCGACGCTGCCTGGAATACACTACTTAGGGGGCGTCCATTAATCACGTGAGATTTTTAAGTGGAGGGAGGGTTTGACAAAAAACCACTAAATATCACGTAGAGAAGGGTAGGGCATGGCAAGACATAACTGTATTTATTTTATATCTGAATTTTTAAAAAAAATCCAAAAATATAAAAAAAAATTTTTAAAAATACTTAAAACTCATAAAAATACAAGTGATGTTAGGTTGAGGAAAGGGGGTATTTTAAATATCAACACAAATAACCAAGTAAGAGGGGGATCCAAAAATTCCTACAAATTGATCACGTGATTAATGGATGCCCCCTTAAAAGAAGAGTGCACACAACACTCAGTTTTTTGCACTGCACACATTGACCATAGATTAAATAATATTAAAATATATTATTAATA